GATCGAGTTCTAGGTCAAACTGGTTTGTTCGACTTTCAAGAAATTCGAGTTCTAGTGAGTTCGAGAACCGAGGTATCACTGTACTAATGGGATTAGGCTGGTCATGAATGCTGTGAAAGGAAGTGGTACAAATCGGGCACCGCTGTAAAATTTGCCTTGAACTGTAATGTTCATTAATCACAATCGAAGGAAAATGTTCAGTTAATTGAGATCTTGATTTGAGGTCATACCGCCCAGCCCTCTACTGTTGTATTTGAAGTTGTTTTGCATTGTTTAAGCGCTGTCTTAGTTTTTTTGAGGAGGAAGATTATTTGGAGTATGGTATTTTTTACTCATGTTCAGCTGTGCAGCTGTTAAATAAAACTTTAGCGGTATGACTCAACTTTTTTTTTTTTCATGTTCAACAGAAAACAAAAATTGGGGGAAAATGTAGTATTGAATTGGGATATTCATAAAATCGCAATACATATTGAATCAGCAACTAGGTATCATGGTAATATCATATCGGGAGGTCACTGGTGATTCCCATCCTTACTAAGAGGGTCATCCCATCAGCCTTCCATCCCATCTGAACAACCTGACGAATGTCTATCCATGTTGGCAGTTAGACTGTGTTTAAAAGATATTTCAAGATATTTCAGGTTAGAGCCAAAAACTGTCAAGCCTAAGAAATTCTTGTCTGATTTTGATTGCAGACCTCCTTCAAATTTCTAGTTTGAATCCTTTATTTTGTAATAGTTTTCACTGATGAAATATAGCCGCAGAAAAAAACAGCCCACAGCACAATTTTTTGGTTCACTTATTTATCAATTTGTGTGTGTACGTCATTGAATAATACATATTTTTTGGCAAAATGCAGCCTGGTACTTCTCTGTTTCTCATTAATGAAGGGCTTCTTCCTTGCTTTATGGGACTTCAGTCCTGCTTCTAGGAGCGTGTTACGAACTGTCCTAGCAGTGCACTTCACACTTGCACTTAACGTTTCTCATTCCTGTAGCTCACTTGATGTCATCCTCCAATTCATGAGAAACTGTTGGATAAATTAACGGTCATCTGTAGCTTTAGAATGTCACTTCCATCCTTTCCCTGGCTGGTTTGTGGTCATTCCCTGTGTCTCCTACTTCATCTTATACTTGTGTACTACTATCTTAGACATTTTGAAACTGGACACAGCCTACTGCTCAGCATAGCCTTCTGCCAGCAGAACCATGATTTAACCAGGATTTTAAAATGCAGATTTGTTTAAAAATAGAGTGGTCTCAATTTTTTTTCTTCGACTGTATGATTAAATATCACTTCATGTTGGAATAACTTAAAATTCATAGTTCGCCAACTACAAAAATATCAGTTGTTCTCTAATTTTGATCACTTTGTATGTGAAAATCATTCCAATGTCCCTGTACTTGTACTTCAGCAAATGGCAAATAAAGCAGAATTTCATTAGAACACCATGCTGGTTTCATGAAGATAAAACAGTTAAACAGTAAAACCCAAAAAACGTTATTCAGGTGCAGATGTGTGTCATACTTCCACAAAAATCAAATAATTTTCTATGCATTTTTGAAAAAGGTCAGAAAAGAAGTCACATATTAAATTGGATTGTGAAAACAGAGTCAACATTGAGCATTCAGAAAATGAAGCAGAACTTGATTCAGACATGGAGGATGGATGCACTGCACTTTTGGCCATTTTGGGGAAAATGGTGAGTTAAAACAATCATAACCATTTTAATTGTGATGCAAAGAATTAATTTGAAATGTCTTTCCCTCTCAAATTTAGACTCATCTTGTATCTAAAATGGAGAAGATGTCCTGTTGTACTAAAGGAATTTGTGCCCTTCACACATACCAGGAAGGACCATCAGGAACACAGTCACTACTGTTCCAGACTTGGCCTGTGACACATTTTGGTGAGCACCTGATACAGAATGATTAAAAAGACAGAAGTATCCAAGAAAGATGTTTTATACAGTAGATTGAACATATACATTTATACACAAATTGCTTACATATGTTAAACCTAAACCAAAAAAATTAAATGTTTACAACAACATATAACTAATGCAGAAGCTTAGAAAATAACCTTTTGGATTCACATTTCTAGAGCTGTTTATCTGAATCCCAGCCCAGCTCTGAAAGGATTTGATTTTTTTTTAAATTGAATGCTTTTTAGTCATTTGTTTTTATTGAATTGTGATAATTGTGATTTAACTTTGCTCAAAATCTTGTACATTTGTAGTTCTCTATTTGTGTTTCTAATGTTATACATTTTGTACATTATCTTATTGCATTTTTCAGTCTTTGTCATATGAATAATTGTTTTATCTGCCATATTTTATTTCATAAAAATACTGATCAAAAGACCCTTATTAAAATTGCCCAATATTATAGTAGACAATTTCAGTTGAGTCATATTTTAAAGACTGTCACTATTTCATGCAGTATAGCTATAGTGCACAATAACGTACGGCTTACATTAAATCAGTCTTTTGATATGGTTTTAGGTAAGCTATTGTTACAAAATACTCAGTATTATAAAATACAGTTGCCATTTATGACTCTCTTGAATGCAAGTCCTTGGTATCGAGTAAAATCATGATGCTTGCAGTTTTATTTACATTTGGCAGATTTTCTCCAAAATGACATACAGGTCGTTGTGTACAAGAAGTGCATGAAATGACACAACATCAATAAGCGCATAACTGATGCGTACAGTATGTCTAATGCAGCATCACTACCTATGCATTACACTAAAACTACAATACACTATGAAGCAGAATCCAGAATATGGAAACACTGTATATTAAGACATAGTGCTGAAGTAAATCTGGTTTGATCAAAAGTCAGCATTCTCATTATCACACAGCCTGTGGAGGATCTTCTGAGGATCCTAAGTAAATATATATATATATAAAAAATATGTTGCAGGGAGGGGTGTTTACGATAGCACTGTAGTTTTGCAATGTCACAATGTTGGGCCAGGCATGTTTTTTTTTTTTTTTTTTGTGAATTTAGATAATAGAACTGTGCACTCCCCTATTGTATTGGCATTTTATCAAAGCACTGATACCTTTATTAAATGGTGACAACAGGGTTGTGAAAAGTTTAAATAAAAACAATATGCATAAACTTTTTACAAAGTGAACATTTGAGCTCTAACAACAGAAATGTACATATCATTGGGCACAAAACTATTCCCAAAGGAGCCAGTCCAGTATGTTACCATATTGCATCTTCATTCCCAAAATAAAAGTAATAGTTATAATACATTACTAACAATACAACAACTAAAAATGATTCTTAAAAGTAATGTGTGATATACGTATGTCATATAACATTAAATTTTCCTGGAGAGAAGATTAAGCAAATATGGCAAAGAAAACTAAAGTGAATCTGCTCTATATTAGTACACATTAGGTGAAAACAAACAATGCATTCTTTTATAGCAATATGTCGCAATATGAAATAAAACATTCCATGATTCTATGAAAAGTGCAGATGAAGTCTTCGATGACTGACACAATGTTCTTTGATTAAAATAAAGAAAATGATTTGTTCTGTAACACTCCAGTTTAAGATTCCAGCTGCTCTGCTACTAAACTTTATTGACAAAACATATGGCATCAAGTGGGTTGTTAAATATACCTGACACAACTATTCACACTTTTTTTTTGTAATGATCAAGTCAGTAATTGATACAGTGATGACCACAGTTTGAAGACAAAACTGGTTTTGTTTTCATTTAGCTTTGTTGGGTAATTTTGGGTTGCACAAACAATGTTTCATTTTTACAAGTTGACAATCTCAGCACATCTGTGCAAGATTTCACCTATCTGGATCATGATATTTGTACAAACCAGTCTGTTAAAAATGTTTGCATCAGGTTCCTCTGTTTTGTTACCTGATGGCATCCATCCGCTGCATAGGCAGATGCTGAACTGCATTTCCATAGTGATTAGGTTAGATTAGATTACTTAGGTTAGATTAGGTTGCTTGAATCATCATAACTCATAGCAAAGTTTAGGCCATAGAAATCATTACAGAAATAAAACACTTTTTAAAATGTCTAGCCAAAGCTTACAATTCTGTTAGGTAGAAAAATCATTAAACTACAAAGGTTGTGGAAAGGCTTAAAGCAGGGGTGGTCACTCTTATGCACAAAGGGCCAGTGTGTATGTATGTTTTTTGGATAACCTTTAGGTCAGCTGTTCAAACCGAGGGGTGAGGACTCTTCAGCCAATCAGTCCTCTAATTCGTAATCTATTTAGGGAGTTGCAGCAAAAACCCAAAACACTGTTGCCCTTTCTGGATAAGATTGGGCACCCCTGGCTTGAAGGTTGATTGTTATTTTTAGTTGATTAACCTGAGAGGAATAATTTCACAATTGGAATAGTGTCTTACTAACGAATATGATCTGAAGACCACATCAAAGTAGAATTTATATTGTTATATGGCCTCAATGTGTACAACCGATTTTTTTCACTTCAATTTCATATGGTCACAACATTTGAATAGTAACATGCAAGGAAACCTTTCACATTTATTGTAGTGAACTTTTTGGGTAGAAACCAAAAGCACAGTGTATACGTGTGCAAGTAATGGACAATGATCTGCTATTCCAGAAGCAGAAACAAAGAAAGCTTATTACTCCAAAACGGAAGTGTACAATGTTTCCAACATTAGTAAATAAGAGCATGTATGATATTAAATGAGGCAAATTTTTCCTCTTTCACAAAAGTATTTTTTGTTGCCATAAACCAGGGGTGGGGAACCTGTTCCATGGAGGGCCGGTGTGGGTGCAGATTTTTGAGATGACCTCTCAATCAGCCAATAATAAAGCAGTGGTTCTCAACTCCAGTCCTGGGGACCCACTGTTATTGGCTGATTGAGAGGCCATCTCAAAAACCTGCATCCACCCCTGCCATATACGATGGCTGTAGATAGCTTATTGCGTCTGCTGGCAGTTCAAGAGATCATAGGCCTTATTAGCTCAAACGACTTTTTGTATAAATGACACGCCATAAAAGGTTATGATAATGTATGGTTATGTGTCATACAATGAATGCATATATTTCATCATTCAGGTTGACTACTAGTTGAAGGTTTTCCCTTATTTAAACAAGGCATAATTAAGACTGTAGCTAGAAACAACTCATCCGTCTGTCTTCTGTGTATTCTGGTCAGGGTCATGGGGTCTGGAGCAAAACCCAGGCAGCGTGGACCATGAGGCTGGGCTACCAAGCCAGTGTTAAATGCAGCTGACTTTATATGCAAAACATGTACAGTTGTGTTTAGGTCATCAGGTTATAGAGCACAGAATCCACATACTATTTTTTTCCCTGGCATTAAGTTAATCTTATTTAAATGTTATACTGTAAATGGTTACCCAAAGTATTAATTGAAGGTTGATGCTAAGAATGGAAAAGAGTTATGCTGAAGATGAAGCTCAGAGGTTTGTGATATTTGATCCATTTTTTAAAACTGTAATTTAATAAACAGCAATCCCTCCTTCCCTATCTTTACATGCTTTGTCTTTTGGGATTTAGGATTTCTGCATGCTAATAATACTCATGTGACCCATCCCAGTATGAATGCTGTTGAGTTCAATGAACTGCAGGGCAAACATTTTAATTTTCTCATTTCTTTTTCAGATGATATATCATCAAAGCTCTTTGATGCCTACAAGCAAGAACTAGCCCTGAAGCAGATAGTTGTTAATGAAATTGCGCATATATCTGACCCAAATCTCTCTTTGGTATTTCTCTCATCCTGGCTCTATCAGCCCTATATAGAGGACATTAATAAAGTCTTGCTTGAGAGTTTGCTTCTGGAAACAGGACACAGAATGCTGACATGAACTTCCACAACGTACTTTGAGGAATGGTTGGAGGAGTTTGTTCCTAAGATTAATATCAACAATAAAGAAAATGTATGCTTTTGTAGTTAACACTTTTCTAATATTGTTTACATTTACCAAGTAATATGGTCAGAAATTGTGTATATTAAGATGAACATTTTACACAGGTTGTTAAATTTCCTTTCAGTGTGTAAAGTACAACAAATTAACTGATGTTAGGAAAAACATTTGTAATCAAGTAGTAAAATAGCACAGGTATTTTTTTTTCCCTCAAAATAAAATTTCTTTGAAACTCCTTTTCATTTACATTCAGACAAATGCATACAGAATGCTATACAGATAATATTGAAAAACCATTTTGAAAGTAAATTGTACAAATTTACAAAAAATGCAGATCTATAAAATCACAGAACAAAATTGTGGGCGCAGATATAGGCAAGATGTCAATGATGAGTCTCAGGGACTAGGATGCCTTCTGTCTGGCCATTTTCAATGCCCAGCAAAGCTTGCACCGTCTCCAGTGGTACTTCCTCTGGGGCACGGATATGCATGGTGGTACCACTGGAGTCAGTGACAATAACAATACGGTCAGAGGCAAGGCTTCCTTCAGAGTGCTGCATAATGAGGCCATTTTCTGTATGTATAAGGATCTGCTCATGGTCATGTTTCTGACTTGCTTCTGCCAGTTGGAATTCCACTGTGCCTCCTAAAGATATGCTGCTTCCTAAGCTGCAGTCCTGCTCCAGGCCATTTACAGTCTCAGTAGGTTGCTGAGGTTCTTGATCATTACTCCTGTACGAGTGGTCCAAAGGGATGACATCTGTGCTTAGTGTCTGCTGAAGATGGCTCATGTGAGCTGCAACATCAGACTCATTCAAAACCTCAGAGGTGTCCATGTCAAGACCACTTTGGCCTTTTTCAGTTACAACTGAGATGAGTTGTGGAGGGCTTGTATTTACACTTGAGTTGTCTATCTTGCTTGATGGATTCTCAGTCTCTGTGGTACTGGGCAGATGTTCCTCAACCAAGACCTCTTCTGTAAAGTCTGTCTCAAAGGTAGTGAAAACCACTTCAGGCTTGGGGGTTTCAGTTTCCATCTGTGTCTCTATCATTTGGGCCTGTTGGGGGTCCATGACTTGCAGCTGGCTCTCTTTTGATTCTGTGACTGTTAGTCTCTCTCCAGTGTTCGCCTTCTTGATCTCCAGGTGATTATGTATAACAGACGCCTTGGCTTCTAATGCGGGAGTCAGAAATCCATTCATTGCCAAGTCTGTATCTGTAGAGAGCGAGAGTCCATAAACATTGGTAATGCAACCCTCCCCCCTTATATGTAAGCTAGGCTATCATTTAGAAACCAGTAAAGTAAAACAATATTTTTAATCTGGTGTACTTAAATTCTTCTATTAATTTCTTTTAACCTTTTTCTGGTGCCCCAGACAGCTCATCCACAGCAACATCCGGAATCATGTTCTCATTCAGGCAGACACCATTGCTTTCTATAGTAGCCTTTTCCAATTTGAATCTTTTAGCTGGGGGCAAAGTCTTGAATTCCTAAGAAAGAAAAAAAGAATTGCATATATTATTGCAATGGCCTGGCAACAATTCTAAGCAACAATTTTCCACCCATCCAGTGAAGTCTAAAATACATCTAGCTAGACTGTACATGACATGAATTAAGCTTATCTCCTAGCTGGGCTACTATAGGTATCTGCACACTAGCTATTCACTATACTATACTAGACTGTACATCCATCCATTTTCTGAAACCACTTATCCTATTCAGGGTCGCATGGGGGTCTGGAGCCTATCCCAGAGGCTATGTGCGCAAGGCAGGGAACAACCCAGGATGCGGCACCAACCCATTGCAAGACACACTTACACACACACACACACACACCCCTATGGGTACTTTTGGTAACTCCAATTAGCTTCAGTATGTTTTTGGACAGTGGGGGAAAACAGGAGTCCCTGGAGGAAACCCCATGATGACACAGGGAGAACATGCATATTCCACACACATGGAACCCTGGCAAAGACTACACTGTAGTTACACATTTACTGACATTCAGGCATATACTACAGGCAATTCAAAGATGTCAAATATGAGCTTAATCTCATGTGTTTGTGGGAGTAAACCAGAACAACATGGGAGGAACACGCATACCTACGTACGTACAGTATGTACACGCACACACATACACACACACACACACACACACGAGAGGTGCGATTCAAACCCCTAACACTAGAGGAGTGAGGCAAGAGAGCTACACCTAAAATAAAATTTGTCTTTGAAAATTGTAGGTAGGACAATGCAAACAGGCATTACATTTAACTATACATCAGTGCTGTCAGAGATGACAGCATTGTATTTCCTGGACAGCCCCCTCACTTGCTCCAGCCATATAAACTGTGCTCATCCCACACTCGCCAACCTGCCCAATTTTTAGAAGTACTGGATGGATCACCTGGAAATATCAGAGTTAATAAATGTGTTTTTACCTCAATGTCCAAGTCCTTGTTGTGATATGTAGGTCTGAACATATACTTTTTCATTTTTTTTGCACATTCCACTTGCATGACAATTTGCAGAATCTTTCCATACCAATTAGATGGTTACTTGTATTCCTTTATGCTTTGATGTCCATCTTTGAAAAGGTCATTTATATTATATAATTATATAATGTTTTTTCTTCATGTGCACAATGAACATCTAACACATTTATATTTAACTGATGCTAGTAACCAAAAAAGGCTTACAGTAGAGTTAAAGTTTGTGATTATGAAACAATCAAGCTCATTATCATGTGGTCAGATAATACGAAGTGGTGTCACATATTGGTTCAAAATGGGACACAGCATTTTATTTTTCAATTTTGGATGATTGCGCAATATATGGGACAGGTATCCCCAGAGGGGGGGGGGGGGAAAAAAAAAAAAACTGAACACAAAAAAGCATTCTAATGGAAATTTTCCACTGCCACCAAGAACCGAACCGTACCCGCGTCAATCACCGTGACACGGTCCTGCTTACTAGCAGGACTGAAAGTGTGATCAAACTGAGCTGGTTGCATCATCACCATCTGAATGGTCGAAATGCAGATACCGGCATTCTGTACATGGATTATTGTAAGGAATACATGGTATAAATACAGCTCTAGAAAAGAGACACCACTTCACATTAAAAAAAATAATAAATCTGCATTTAGTTTAATCCTGGTTCTGCTGACAGAAGGCTACACTGAGTGGCACATTGTTTCCAGGCTCAAAATTTGTATGACAGCAGTACACAAGAACGAGGGGGTATAGAAGCAACTGGGAACGACCAAAACCAGCCATGTAGTGAGTGGAAACTACTTTCTAATGGCACAGATGGCCGTCAACTTATCCAACAGTTTCTTATGAATCAGGGGATGACATCAAGTGACCTTCAAAAACAATGGGAAACATTAAGTGCAGGTGTGACGTGCACTGCAAAGACAATTTGTAACAGGCTTCTAGAAGTAAGACTGAAGACTCATAAAGCAAGGGAAGTTCTGCAGTAGAAAACCAACGTGAGCGGGAACTGTGCTGTAACTTTTCTCCCTTCACAGTATGACTCGGGTACGGGCAGGTTCCTGTAGGCCAGTGGAAAAGTGCCATTTGCAGTGTATACAAGGGATTAGCTATAATCAACAAAAACAGTATTTACAAGTATTTAACTCTTTCACTTAGAGTATACTTTCCTTGCCCACAAAACAGCAAATAGTACTGGCGAACAAATGACTATCTGGCCTGATGGCTGAACTCACATTCTAAATGGTTAAATGGGGTTCTCCTTTTCAGACACACACAGACACACAGTTGACAGCGAAGCCTGGGGTCCGAGTGCAGGGTCAGGCCATTTATACATTCGCCCCTGAAGCACTTTGTGTAACTTGTCATAATGTAATTAGCTTGACCAGATCAGTGCCTGTTCTTTTATGTGCCACAATTGAATAGACTAGACTGGACCAGGGTAAAGTCACACAAATTTTCCCACAATAAGTTTCGCTAAGTGCCCTACAATACATTTCAACAACAGGCTACCGGACCGCTATGGATGCGGAATTTGACAAATGTTTAGGCTAGTGATCTAAATTCAATATGAACTTTATTATAAAAAATTCACACCCTACAGCTTTAGAATGACTGACCTGTAGAATGTTTCTAGGGATTTTGCAAAAAGAACCACAGAATAAAGTTTACATAGCAGATGGTTGTGTTCACATGATTGCAGCTGCAGGCTCTATTTTCATTACTGGTTGGCTATGTCTTGCAGTTTCAAATTTGCTGCCCATTGTTGTTGTGGTTACGATCTTGGATCTGATCAAGTGTACATTTTTAGGTGTACATTTTCATCCATATAATGTTTTATGTGAAGCAGTAATAAGAGCCAACACAACACATTTACAAGTTCAAATGTTGTTCTAATTAAAAAAATTTACAAGTTCAAATGTTGTCTGATTTCATCCCTCCCTTTGTAGCCACTCCAATATAGGTAATATTTTCATCTGTGGCATCCATACAAAGCCTCTGTAAAGTCTGCGAACTTTTTGACTTATAGTCTTAAAGGGATCAAGTGTCAATTTTGGGAGTTTGTGTCAAAATTTTATCAGGTTTAGTTCCTCACTCATCCAATGCCTGTACAAAGATCTGTCAAATGGGTTATGAGTTATCGCTTTACATATCAAGAGTCTGAGGCAGCAGGTGATCAGAGCTAAAACCATGTGTTTTCCCCAGTGGCCAGGGAATACAATTATTGCCCAATAACACAGGACAATAAACCAAACAGATCTCACCTGTGGATCAGTTAGTTCCACATCAGCCAGAGGTCCGGGATCATTGTGGATACCAAAGTGATCCTGTGCCATCTTCTTCACTTGACGATGCAGTTGCTCAAACTCCCGGTACACATCAGAAAAATGAGGCTTAGAGGGGCAACCTTTCTCCACCTTAGATGACAAAATGGCATAAAGTAGTTCTTCATTTAGAGTTAAGTATACCAAGACCATTAAAGGGCAACAAATGTACACAGCACAAAAGCAGAGATCAAAGCTGAAGAACAGCAAATAGATGTCTGCAGAAACATAGGATCTTTTTCAGAGAAGTCAATACTTTCCACTGACATTATTAATTCTAATCATTATATATAAACATTGAGGAAAAGTACACAATCTAAATTTCAAGGGTATTTAGAGGGGACATGAAACACTAGATGTAGTTGTATTTACAAGAGGGATTCCCACTCTAAAAATCCTTATAGATTTAACATTGTTAAACTGGAATAAAAATAATAAGGAATCCAAGTTAGATTTTTCAGGCAAGTGTAGCACCATCTTGTCCTAGCATAGGATGTGACATCATCAGATTGGTTGGCTTGGAATTCCTACAGTTGTGGCCAAAAGTTCTGAGAATGACACAAATATTAATTTTCACCAAGTATGCTGGCTCAGTTTTTATGATGATAATTTGCATATACTTCAGAATGTTATGATGAGTGATCATTGCAATTAATTGCAAAGTCCCTCTTTGCCATGAACTTAATCCCCAAAAAACCATTTCTACTGCATTTCAGCCCTGCCAAAAAAAGGACCTGCTGACATCATTTCAGTGATTCTCTCATTAACACAGGTGACAAGGACAAGGCTGGAGATCACTGGAAGCTTTAAAAATATGGTGGTGCTTGAAATCATTGTTCTTCTTCTGTTAACCAAGGTTACCTGCAAGGAAACATGTGCAGTTGTATTAGGATGAATTCACGGAAGATTACATCACCCACGTGGCATGGAATTAATCCTTTTATTATAATATTCTGGGAAGTTGTAATTGTGGATTAATTCTGATCGCATGTGGACTGATCATCCTGAAATTCAGATCAATTGTCCATGATTCACCACGAATGTTACTAGACTGCACGAACACGTTATTTACCGATCCCCTGTAAAAAAAAAAAAACCCTATTTCACCATGAATAACTTGGGCTCATAAAAAGAAGCCAGGATGCTCATCTGGGCCGTTAGATCGGCAAGCAGAACGTTTATCTTGGTTTCGGGAGATGGGGGGGGGGTCGGTATACAGCACCCTATATTGTCTTTAAGGGGGTAGGGAGGCATGGCGCAATTAAGGATATCTGGCGCAAGGATGCCTATCTTATCGCAAGCAGCATCATTCGGACAAAAGGGGGAATTTGATAACATATTGCCTGGGGGGGAAGGGGTGAGCCTGGCCAGCTTACCCCCTGCCCACATGCAACACTAAATTTAGTATAAAGGAAGGGGGAGATTCCAGTACTGACCGGAGCTCAGCCGTGGGATAAAGCGCGCATCGCCCGGCACTTTCTCGGAACTCACGTGTTGGTCTCCTGCCAGGACTGAAAGGGCTCCCCAGTCCATGTGTGAAGGTGGGTGATGAGGGCACGTCCGAGTGTAAATATCTTTGCAACTGCTTATGCCTTTCATTGATTCTTGTGAGTAATTATTGCCGCTTGTGATAAACTTCTTTTATGTTTCCTTGCTTCTTTTATATTTCATTGCTTCTTTTCTACATATATTTTTGTACCTTTGCATCTATTATTATTAGCTATAATATATATACACTATTTGATACCCATTGTAGTACGAGGTTATTTTGCATTGCTTTCAATATGATAGCTTGGTATTGATATTAATGCGAGATTATTTTGTATTACTTATTAAAGTGTTTTTGAGTGAACCTAAGTGTGCCTGTTTGTTCCTTCGAGAGCCCTATATCCCTCTCTCATCCATTTTAATACAGCAGTCATCACTGCTTTGCACAAAAATGGCTTCACAGGCAAGGGCATTGCTGCTAGTAAGACTGCACATAAATCAACCAATTTATCGGATCATCAAGAACTTCAAGGAGAGAGGTGCAATTGTTGTGAAGGCGGCTTCAGGGTGCCCAAGAAGTCCAGCTGCAGGATCGGGGCACCATCAGTGCAGAGCTTGTTCAGGAATCACAGCAGGCAGGTGTGAGTACATCTGCATGCACAGTGAGCCAAAGACTTTTGAAGGATCGCCTGGTGTTGAAAAGGGCAGCAAAGAAGCTACTTCTCTCCAAGAAAAACATCAGGGACAGACTGATATTCTGAAAAAGGTACATGGGTTGGGGTAAAGTAATTTTCTCTGATGAATCCCCTTTCGAATTGTTTGGGGTATCTGGAAATAGATTGTCCGGAGAAGAAAAGGTGAGCCCTACCATCAATCCTGTGTCATGCCAACACAAAAGCATCCTGAGACCATTCATGTGTCGGGTTGCTTCTCAGCTAAGGGAATGAGTTCACTCACAATTTTGCCTAAGAACACAGTCATGAATAAAGAATGGTACCAAAACATCCTCCGAGAGAAACTTCCCCCAACCATCCAAGAACAGTTTGGTGATGAACAATGCCTTTTCCAGCATGATGGAGCACCCTGCCATAAGGAAAAGTGATAACTAAGTGGCTCAGGGAACAAAACATCGACATTTTGGGTCCATGGCCAGGAAACTCCCCAGACCTTAATACCATTGAGAACAAAAGAAATTTACAAATGAGAGGAGGCCATTCAGCCCATCAAGCTCATTTGGGAAGTTGTTCAAATCTTATCTAGCTCTGATTTAAAGGACCCCAGGGTTTTAGCTTGCGCTATACTAGCAGGAAGACTATTCCATACTCCAACTCCTACTCCAAATGCTTCCTCAAATTCATTTTAAAATGTTCTCCCGCTAATTTCCACTTATGGCCACGAGTTCTAGTATTTAAACTAGAACTTGTGGTTAATCCTCAAGAGGCAGGTGGACAAACAAAAACCCACAATTCTCAATTCTCAAAAAGTATTCAATGGGGAATCCCCCAGTAAGGAAAATATTAAAGAAGCACCCAGGCTGCTTAGTTTATAGTTTTTTGTAAAAGTAGCATATTAGTGGTAGGTGTTCCCCAGGGTTCCCGCTGCCGCTCGTCACTCTCGTCATTGACTAAAACGGAACCCATGGAGACGAAGAAAAACGGCATGAAATCGTCACTCTGGCGAATTCAATTTTCAAATGACGAATTTTGAATTTTTGAAAAGCTGAATTTCATTTTTTTCCCAATTTTCAACCGTAGCACCCATAGGGCCTAATCAAAACTGGTCCGGCGCCCCGGACACAGGATCGTCGATCATCCATGTCAAATGAGCATGGGCCATTTTAAAAGTAGCATCGATCGGTGTGGGGACATTCTAAAACGCTTAATGTGGTTTAATGTACCAAGACAGCGACCAATAATCACCAAATTTCGCACACACACATCTGGTCATAAACACTTTCACCTGACAAGAAATCTAAACCGAAATGCTAAGAATAAGGACTTTATACTATGTTAAGCGTTTTCCCCTCCATTGACACCCATTATAAGCAGAAGGCTTAATGTAAAATAAAGTCCATATTCCTTGTATTTCGGTTTAGATTTTTTGTCAGGTGAAAGTGTTTATGACCAGATATACAGTATGTGTGAGAAATTTGGTGATTTTTGGTGGCTGTCTTGGTACTTTAAGTTACATTAAGCCTTTTGAATCTGTAAACACAAAATGAATAGGATAAAACAAGAAAAGCATTTTTTTCTTAATGGCTTCCAAAACGATGAAGATCTTTTTTTGGTCTGGGAACACTCAAAAATGTTTCCTGTTTAAATTAATGCTAATTGCTTCTTCACAGAGGTTTCATAAGAATACTCTAATGAATCTGTAATACTATAGATGCCACACCAAAATCTTACTCAAGTGAAAGTCATCCATTGAAAGAGTACTCAAAAGTAAAAATACGTATTTTAAAAATACGTTTTCAAAATACTTAATTATCCAAAAGTAAAGAACACTACACATTAAAATCTAATGATCTTACAAAAGCAACCTATCCTTCTAAATTCACTCAAGTTCCTTGAATACAGAACTATAAGTTACTGTGCATCACAATAAGGAAAACTAATAAGTAGTTATTTTCTTATTTACCAAATAGGCTGTTTGCAGGTAACTTGGTCACAGCTGGTAGCCACTGCAGTGCCAGTTGTGATGTTGGGCTAGCACTAGGCCTGTGCAATATGACATTATCAGTAATCGACATCAGACTAGTAAAGCCAGTGCTGGTATCTGACAGTGACTAACTGGCGATTATTGGTTTAGTCGGTAGGGATGGGAATCACCAGTGACCTCCCGATGCGGTACTATCACGATACCTAGGTGCCGATTCCATATGTATTACGATTCTGTGAATACCCCGATTCAATACTACATTTTTCCCCCAATTGTTTTTTGTTCTTTAGAATTTTAAAATCGGGTCCAAATGTTAAAAAAAAAAAAAGTTGAGTCATACCACTAACGTTTTATTCAATAGCTGCACAGCTGAATTGAACATGAATAAACGTAGCATACTCCAAATATTTTTCCTCCTCAACAAACCAAAGGCAGCATTTAAACAATGCAAAACAACTTCAAATACAACAGTATAAAATTTACGTTAAAATTAGAAGTTAGCAGCAAATGTAGTGCTTTGCTATCATGGCATAAACTTCTCTGAGCTTTTATGCTTCCCCACTGCCTTGTCTATTGCAGGATGATGTTTAGCAACATGTCCCTGTATGTTCGTAGTATTATCACAATACTTAACTTTCACAGGACAAAGTTTGCATACAGCATGGATCTGTCTAACACCTCTTTACCATTTAAATTTTGAAATTCAAAGTGAAAGATAAACTGAGATAAACTTAAAGAGAAAATAACTGGCTCCTGCTGCCTGTCAATGTGGGAACAGTTTAGAGTGCACCACCTGTAGGATCATAAAGGAACTGCAACATTTTCCCACCTTAAATCCAAACATATACAAGTTATAAATTAATTTAAAAATCGATTTCAGAGTTAGTGTGGCGATACATGAACTGCCACACAAAAAAAATCACAATACATAACTGACTAAATCCCCACCCCCCATGTCTATTAGTCAGGGAGGTAGGCTTAGGCAACAGAAAGATTTATGATTTAGCTTTCAGATCAGTTTTCTAGCCTACTTTTCTGAGGCAGTTTAAAAAAAACACATTTGTATAATCTTTTTAACTGCTTATATGGTATGAGAAGGTATAATTGTACATAAATGTCAGTCATAATGGGGATACATGGCTAAAGATGACCACATATTTCAAACAAAATCAACAGAATTAACATTGCTTTAGCAATATGCTATTGTATGAACGGTGATCACCGGTTCAACGCACTGCTTGTGTAGGGCCCCCAAGGTAAACATTCATTTGTTCTGATCTTGTGTAATCACACCTTTTGCAAACATGTCCACTCTTTTCTGTTTGCAGTAATGTTATTATGCCGGGGGGGGGGGGCAGTTGATCTTGGACCCCCAGAGGTTTTTTTCTCCTTACTTGGGAGTTTTCGGTTCCTCTACTCCGTTGTCTTCTGGCTTTCTTTATTTAATTTCTTTCCTTCCTTTTTCCCCATTCTGTATCTCACTTTAATGATGTTTTATGTATCACGCATCCATGTAAAGCGCTTTGGGACAACTCTGTTGTGAAAGGCACTATATAAAAATAAATTCAATTGAACTGAATTGAATCTTGCCCACTGTCCATAACAGTGGTGACAATGTGATGCCACGGGGTTGGTCAGCAAGAGTAATTATGCAGTTACTGGCATGCTTTGTATCACACCCCACATATCTTAAATAGTGTAAATTATATGTGTATTCATGCATTTATGTTGTAAATAGTAAATGTTGTAACTTTCGAATGCCTGTGTTTACTTAGGCTACGTTCACACTGCCAGCCGCATCGTTCAATTCCGATTTTTTTCTCAGATCCGATTTGTCTATTTTGACGGTTCACATTTATAACTACAAGTGACCTGTATCTGATTGTAATGTGAACGCATCGGTCCTCCGAAACGTCACGCATGTGCACATTGATACGTTATTACACGGGTAAAAAGCTGGTCGTAAAATTGTCACGCTGTGCGGCCATGACCGCTGCGTTGATTCGAATCTTTTGCCTCCTTAAACTTTGACTTCAGGCTCTTTATCTTTCTTTGGCACTGTAGCCACGTTCGTTTGTGTCCGCGCTGTGCCATTTCATTGGCAATTATTTCAAATACTACTCTATTACGATAGGTTCCTTCCAGTTTAGCTTGAACAGATTAATTTCCCCAAATATCAATTAAATCCCCGACTTCGCCATCCTTCCACTGACTTATCGCAGCTCTCCTCCATTTTTACCTTCCCGCGCTGCCGGTGCAGGGAAGCGTATAAGCAAAACGCCACATGAATTCCGATCTGAGCGTTCACATTCAGGTCGCATGGCCGCGAATCTGATACGTATGAGATTTAGTACCACATATGAAAGTGACACAAATCTGATTTGAAAAGATCAGATTTGCATGTCCACACAGCCTTGAAAAGATCAGATCTGTGTCACATTAAGGCAAAAAAAATCCGATTTGAATCACTTCAGCACGGCAATGTGAACGTAGCCTTAGTGTGTAACCCTGAGTGTTGTATAAATTATTGGTTTCCTTGTCTGTGCTGCTGCTAGTATTAGACCAGTAGTGGCTGTTAATAGAGAGATCAACTTCTATTTTAAAAAGGCTATCGTCTCCTTTATTAAAATGACTCATGCACTTGTCACAAGACATTTATTTATTATTTGTATTATCATTATCATTATTATTATTATTATTAGTAATAGTAATAATAATAACAACAACAATCATAATAATTACAATAATAATAATATATACTTTATTGATCCCTGTATGGAAATTCTCTTCACACCTCCACCAACTTGCTCTATATAGGTGAGAGCAAGCTGGCAGTGAAGGGGAGCCACCTGCCTTGCTCAAGGACCCGCAGACGTGCCGAGGCTGGGCTCGAACCGGCAACCTTTTGATCACAGGAACAGAGACTTAGCCCACTGAGCCCCAAACTGCCCCTTAGCCCCACACTGCCCCCTATACACACTGTATGTGGGTCTGCCGCATCAAAGATTCTGTGCCTTCGAGGGTTGTGGTGTGGCATAGAACAGATGAAGTGTCATTATGTATGTGACAGATCGTTCTTGCCAGTGTTTAGTTTTTAGTTTTGTCTGGATGTTTGGAGTATGCAGCTACTTTTATTGCTGTCACTCCCCGACAACAACTTCTTCTTTATTCCCATTAGTTTTGGTAAAATAAACTCAATTCAACATTAGAAGTAAATAAAATAAATACCAGTGATCAATTATGGTTGTTTATGTTACAGGTTCACATGTTGCATTGTGCGTAATGTGAATCTTGCCTTCTGTTGGTCACTAAGGCTGCATAGCCATGAGTTATTCCAGCTGCTAGTGCAGTTGAATACATTCACAGAAATACATATAGCATAATTTCCAAAGCGCAGTTTTGTCTTTTTACAAGTACCCGGGTAAATTTAATCCCTGCCTCTCATGTATGTTAATACTTTTTTTAACTGGGTGAGTAATGATGGTCTCGTGCAGAATGTATCAGAGTAAAACGTCATAATTTGCCTTAGAAATTAGGGCTGCACGATATATCGTTTCAGCATCGTCATCGTGATGTACGCACATGCAATAGTGCGCAGGATGTGCAATGTTAAGTAACGCAAATTAAATTAAGCGGCGTGGACAACGCTTTTGGTGTTTTTGCTGAACTAACAAATGTCACACTGTTCTTATTCTTAAACAATCCACAAAAGTCTGTCTAACATAATTTAAATCAATTTAAAGGTTTTTGGATACGGAGTCGACACGCAGCTTT